ATATGTTTTTCATTGGTATTCTATTTTGCTTATTCAAGAGGAGCCTCAGCATGTTTCAATCCAACTTTCCAAACAGCGCGTTTTCAAAAAATTACCTACCACGGCAACATCAATAGATATACCGGGGGCTCGACCGGAGGTGTCAACGAATCTATCAAACAAGCCAGAAGAATATTCGGTTTATCAAAATTGAATTCAATATGGGTACATTGTTTGTGAAGAGGAAAGTTTAAGCATATTTTTCACTTCCCGTTCCGGTTTCACCGGAAATGCCTCCAGATTTGAATGTTTAAATGGAACACTCTGAATATAATAACATTTTTGAATTTCTGAGACAATTATGGATCAAAACATGACATTTTCAGAAGTTTTACACCTTCTCAGTTTTGTAAAATTGAAAGCTTTTATATGGATGTATGTACCTACCTATGTTTTAGTTCGGGTGGAATCTTTGAACTCAATTTTGAAGTAGATATCTTCAACCGATTGACCTGAAATTTTGTATACACGTTTAGTGACAATGACAATACACGATAAGGTGTGTGAAGTTATTCTAAATCCAATATGGTGTACCATCCAAGATGGCGAAATAGTTATTTTCAATGCACTTCCACAAAATGGGTATCAAATGGAAGGACTTGTTGAGAGTAACTCGAAAAATAATGTGACGTCATTTCAAATTCAATATGGCGGATCATTCACGACGGCGTAATAGTTATTTCTAATGCACTAATAATGTGACGTCATTATAAATCCAATATGGCGGACTATCCAAGAAGACGTAATAGTTATTTTCGATTCACTTCTACAATATGCGTATCAAATAAAAGGGCTCGTTGAGTGCAACTCGGAAAATGAAATGTAAAATCATTAGGTCTCCTTATTGAAGAGCTGGACTGTTCGAAATTAACCGGCAAACGACCTTCCAACAATGATTCGTTGAATGAAATGAACAGACTGAGAAACCTAGCCAGCGATAACTAAAAATTGAAAAATGAGTTATTTAGAGTAACTTTTAATATTGCATCTATATATACAGGGTGATTCAAAAGTAAGCGGCATCCTTTCAGAGGCGTATTCCTTGCATGAAAATAAGGCAAAAAGTTCCTATTGATAAGGATCCGAAAATGCTTCCTAAGGGAGCTACGGCCCTTTGAATAGGACACCTCAAAGACGGTTTTTTCTCTATAACTTTAAAATCCTTCACAACAAATTTTTAAAAATTGGTGTACGGCATAAACATTCGATGGTAAATAGGACTCCGTATTCGAAATAATTTCCAAACGAAATCACAGTAACCTGAATATCCGGAGAAGAAGGGATATTTTTACACTTACCCTCTCCCGCATGTGACGCCCCTGAATGAAATTCTGAAATTTCGAATACGGAGTCCTATTTACCATCGAATGTTTATGCCGTACACCAATTTTTAAAAATTTGTTGTGAAGGATTTTAAAGTTATAGAGAAAAAACCGTCTTTGAGGTGTCCTATTCGAAGGGCCGTAGCTCCCTTAGGAAGCATTTTCGGATCCTTATCAATAGGAACTTTTTGCCTTATTTTCAAGCAAGGAATACGCCTCTGAAAGGATGCCGCTTACTTTTGAATCACCCTGTATATAGGCAGATGGTCATGCCATATATCGAACGTAAACTTAATTATCTTATATAGGCGATGTCAGAGAACTGTAATCACAAAGTTCTAGTGACCATAGTATGATAGATAGAAAGAAGACAGGTAATTCCATGGGGGAGGCGGGTAATCGCTATATATTAGGAATAAGGTTCTAAAAAGTGAAAGTTCATTCTTGCTCTTATATTCTCTATATAAAACAATGAATGAAAATGAATTAATATGGATAGAGCTACGTAAATAAGTACCTATAAAGCTGATAAAAAGGACGATAACCATCTCACACACAACATATACAGGGTGTTGCCAATTGAGTGCGAAAGTTTTTAGGGTATGATGATGACTGAATATTTTTCGCGACTAATATAGTTCGAACTAAACCGATATATCGATATAATAATCTGAAATTGTGAAATGCTTCATCTTTTCCAGGTACATCTATGTGAAGCTGAAGGCCTGCCTGATTTTAACGGAGCCTCTTCATTCCACAAGAAACAATTAGTTGTTGTCAAGAGCCTATGGAGAGGTTGTGGAGAAGCTCAAAGGTGAGTATTGAGTATATGTATATAGGTGGTCCAGATTTTCGTACTTTGGGAGGTGAGGTGATGAAGACTTGCAAAATAAGAGAATTTTTCTCAATGAACACACCATCAAGATGCACCATAACCTGAATAATAAGCGTTCGAATTCAAAAAATCGATCTATATTGATTATGGACCAAAAACAACTTGTATTATCACTTTTTCATCACAATTTTATACCGCAATTATATTCAAAAGGGCAACTTCAGGTAAACATTTACCCTCCGTGTACCCTAGTAAAATAGGGTAATATAAAATTCATAGTTATTTGATTCTATATAATTTTCTTACTAGGTTTCCGGGAAATATTGTCAATGTTATTTCAATATTGTCTAATTAAATGTAAAATTTACACTTAATAATTTTACGACCAAATTTTCAATGACTTTTCATTCTTTTGATTGCTCTTTTGATGCGGATTTGATTTGAAATACCTCTCTAACAAGGTATAACTTTACCCTTCGTATAGAATTCAGAAATTGCGAAGGGGTTGAGATGTGGGTAGAATGTTGACAGGTGGTGGAACATTTTTATGTAAAAATATAGATTTTCCAAAATGGAAAGCGACCAAGCCGGGGATTTTCGAAAATACATCTTTGTTATAGAGATCTGGATTTCATCCTATCATAGATATCCTCACTGTATAATAAGTGCGTCGAATAAAAGTTGAAAACACGAAGAATACATTTTTTTTCAGTGAATCATTCATTTGTTTCTTAAGCTGATGAGAGATGAAAGTTTATCATTAGTTTTCTTTCAATGTACTCAGAACAATATTGTTTTATTGTTTAATGGAAAGCTATTAGATCTTGTTTTTTATCTCATATTGATTTTGTAACAGATCGCGTCTGAATTGCGGCAACCAAGCATACACGGCTGAATAATCGCGAGTTGAGCCAGGGTCATTTATTTAAATCGCGCGCCTATTTCCATTCGAAAGGAAGTCAGGGTTATTTGAACGGGGGAAGGGGAAGAGAAGGAAATTAGAAGATGGTGCCTCAATGTTGAAACTGTAAAGGTTATTGATTATAAATCATTGTGCATCCAGTTTTGCAGAGGGTGTTTTTGGTTTTATTGTAGCGTCTACGCTCCTGGCAGCGCTGGACCTCTCGCCTATGCACTTTTGTAGGTAGGTGAAACCCATTTTCGATAAATTGTAGAACTTAACCTAAGATTTGTCGAGCATGACGAATTTTGAATCATCGAATTTAATATTAGCAAGTGTAACCAGTGTGTTCTGGCTTAGGAGTTAATATTTATGCCCTTCTGTAGACTTGGATGAATTTAGACTAAATAACTGGTCTCCTTTCGCCACTGGGTTTTTTCCTGCCGCATTTCAACTCTGTTCCTCCAGTTTGAATAAAGATCTGCCACCCGACGAGCAATTTTTTACTCAGCCGAACCCCGCAAACACAGACCCCTGAGATTCATTGCAATTTTTGTTGATATTGGTGAAAACCTACTTGATAGCTACTTGGGAAAATCGCCTAGAAATCCCTCCACAAAATAAGACGTCTTCGGTTCGTCCATGAGACTGGATTCTACAAGAATAAAAAATCGACTAAGAATACATCCCAGGAAACATACACGGGAAGAAATATATCAAACGACCGTGTCACAAAAAAACTGAGAAACTGCTGAATCTCAGCAGGGGGCAACAGAAAGACATAACAAGACTCCTGATGGACCACACGCTTGTGACAGAACTGTTGAACAAAACCTATAACCTGATTGTTCACATCAGGTGCCCAGAGCCGCAGACTATGCGACAAGGCTCAAAACACACACACATATTCTGTGATTGCAAGAATCTATTATAATACATAATTTATTCAACTCACACCGTGTGAAGAACAAAGCTCAATCATAGTGAAGTGGCTCCAGTAAAACAGCCATGATACAATGGGCCAACTGACCAAAGTGTCACGGAGACCATGCATGATCATAAGAGCCTGGAGTGTTTAGTAGGTATACTAGACATGGGTGAGGAGACTCCCACATTACCAAGAACGGACTGTTCCTTTGTGGTGCCCATGAAAAATTTCAACCATCTTCAAAATTAAAGAAAAGACCGTAGCACCAGATCCGTGAGAACAACTATTATAGAATTAATCCCCGCTGTTCGACAACTTCAATTATATTTAGTGAAATGGTTGATTTAGATGCGTTTCACTTCATGTGGAAATAAATACCTTATCTTTGAAAAGAGCTTTTATATAGTTAATTGACTCACCTCGTGTTCATAAATATCTCATACAGTAATGACGAGGTTCGTATAGAGATCGTTGCGTTTGTTTTAAACTACTTCAAATGAATGCCAGCGAAAATTGCTTCCTACCACAAGGCTACCACATTAATAATATAACCTCAAGAGTGATGTATATCGCATATACTCGAAAGTTTTCATCCGTTCCTAATGTTTCCGCTCATCTTTCACATGTATATCTCGCAGTCACGTGGCGAAGAATATTAACAAACAACTTCGCAGTAGAGATGAATGGAATTCCAATTAAAACTATGTTAAATAGACTGTCGTGTGCGGTAGAACTTCACCAGGAGCAATATTATTGCAATCAAGCGGTCACGTGACTTATTAAAACGAGGACCCGAATTACGAGAGCTCCTTTCGTGGCATTGACCGATATTTGCATTCATCTGTTTTCCCCTCGAAGAAAAACAAGTGCTAGTGCGTCGCGTAAGCCGATTCCTTGGGGAAGACACGTGAATGCGGGAAATAGGGGAGACCGCGGATCCATGAGATATTGTGTAATCATAACAAGTCCCTCGTCATGCTGCTACCCCAGATTCCAGGCCCGTAAGTGATTTTCCTGTCATATCATGTCGTGAGATTTGGGTGGAAACTGAAGAATAATATAAGCACTCTTAGTGTACAGCGTATTGAATTTTTCTGTAGAAATACTCAAAATGAAACAAGAGAGTGTATGTTTTCCCACTTTTTCGACACTGGGTATGGGTTATCCCACTTCTGATATCAGAATCTCATAGATAGAGACTCATTTGAATTATATTCCAATCAAAACATCGCGAGCCGACTTGATAGTATCAATCAAAATCAATAAGCAATCCGAGGACCAGCATTTCTACTCTGCCCTCCGGTTCAGAACTAACTGAAGCATTTGTTCCATTCCTCTTCCTGTTCCCTGTTCTGCTCAAGTGATATTCCTCGAAATATTAGATGCGTTCCTTTCAATAACTTAGACTAAACAATTATATAAGTGGTCTTCACCAGCAACAAGATCATCGCATAAACAGTTTACACATCTAGTCAAAATAGTAAAACTAGCAGTTTCTTTTCAATAAAATCAAATTGCGCCGACATTGATGAGAGAATGAATACTACAACCTCAAGAAGCTATAGGTAGCGAATAGGAGAGATAACAATGATCATATACTATCAAGACAGATGGCAATTCCTAATAGCCCAGTGTCTCCGAGTTGCCTGAAGCTACATCAATTCAAAAAGTTAAACTTGCAACTTTTGGTCGAACCACTATTTTGAATAAGTAGCTTAGGTACAGCAGTTCTTTTCCTTGATCAGCGAAGTATCATCAGATGTACTAACATACAGAAGATCTCTTCTTGGTACTTTTTCACTTATGAGTAACTCCTTCAGAAGCACCAAAGAGTCAGTATCAAACTTTTTATCTTGATCAAGATCAGAAGCATAGGATCACCTCACTCGAGAGTAGGGTCTTCTGCGCTCAATAAGCAATATTATTTTACAATTTATAATCAATGAGCGAGATCATCTTGTTTATGAAACAAAATCACATTACTCTTGCCCTTGAAGCAAGAGTATCTTGTAGTTCTTGTTCAAGTAGCGAGACATTATTTTCTAGACAATATTGCTATACCTAGACACCTCGGCCACAAGATTTCACAGACAAATCCATCCGATGAGAGACCCATTTATTGATTTATATTCATTCGATCTTGATTCTTTAATGAGGTTATCCTGCTTCCTATTGGTACTGTTTTTTCGAAAAATTGATGTTGGTTTTCGAGCAAGATGACCTTTCTCTATAACCGAGGTGATCTAGCTCCCTAATCAACATGGTATTACTCCTCAAGTAAGTTGATATTTCTTCTTGAGCAGAATGATCTCGCTATTCGAATAAGGTGATCTCCCTCCTAAGCATTATGGAAAATATGCATATTTGCCATTCAGTGTTTTCTCTTTCTCACATTCATTACATATTTTTCTTGTGATTTTGCAGGCATGAGTTCTTGAGGGAGACCAGCTGGTTAGCTGGTTTGCGCGACCCGAATTTGGCGCGTGTGGTTGGATTCTGTAGCCAAGACGAACCCATGTGTGCCCTGATGGAACACTCAGAACCTGGAGATCTGCCCAGGTTCCTTGCACAAAGAGCGTTCAGTGAAGATGGCAGTTCGGTAGTAGGACCGTCCATAAGGTGAGTGACAATTTGGTTTTGTGTATACTCAGAAATGGTGTCTATAATAGTCACGAAATAACTAACGAATGAGCCCAGGAATAACTATCACAGACCCTTCAGAACTTGGCTCTACTGGGATGAAATGGTATCAACTGTCAGGAATAGGGCATGTTAGTGTGGTACACTGATGGGTTTAAGACTGATGAAGGTACGGGAGCCGGAATATATGGTGATAGACCCAGAACTACGGTTTGTGCTTCCTTGGGGAGGTATGCTTTAGTATTCCAGGCAGAGGTACATGCTATTGAGGCATGTCTGAGAGAAAATATCGTGAGAGGATACAGAAGTAAACAAAATTCTCATATGCTCAGATAGTCAGGCGGCCATCCAATCTTTAACATGCAATAAAATCAGACCAAGATGTACCACGCCATTAATTTCACTGTATTTTAATTTTTATTTTATTGTAATCTCCTTTAGTTTTTTAATATTGTCTACGCCTATGTTCTTGTTATGTACTTTGTGTATCAACTCTCTTGTTGCTATGAGGATTTGTGCATGTGATGAATGCGCGAGACGCGAGTGTAAAGTGTGGGAAGGGGGACGGTTGGTACAAGGCCAGAGCGAAAGGAGACGGAGTTGGTTTCCAGCAGGCAGAGGGAGCTGAGAAGTGAAAGGCTCAACCACGTGTGAGGCCGCTGTTAGGCCGATGCTATTTGAATGTTATTTCGTACAAGGTTGGGAAATAACTAAAGTTGCCGTTTGGAAGCCACATTTAATGGGTAGTGATAGTGGAACCCAATAAGTAGTTGGTATTGGAAGTATCGTCATTAACCAATATCTACGAAACACAAGTTGTGCCACAACGATACATACAAGGGATTTTGTAAGAGTATAAAATTGATCAATCACATATTATTGCGAGCCAGGAATCGACCGAAGCAATATTGAAGGTAGGACCCATCTTGTAGTAGCCTGGTTTGTGTTTAGCTGTACATTTTGTTGTTGTTTGGGGACAGTTGAACAGAAACGTGAACTATAAGAATAACAGGGAGTTGATAAGGACTGATAATTATAAACTGTATTCGTGTTTGTTGATCATCTAACTATTAGTAGTCTAGTTATGTTTACTGTTAGTAAAAATAACCGTTTTTGAGCAGTTCTTCAAGAAAATAACAATATATTTGTTTATCTGTCTTCGGATTTTCTTTCCACACCATGTACAAGATTTGAAGCTCTGAAAGAATTCACCCACCCTGCTTATAATAGTCTCAAGGCTTGTTTCAAAGACTGGTCTGGGATTGCCTTCAAAGCCTGCTGACCCTGGCTAACCACAAGGTAACGCTTCAATGGTTGCCAGAGCATAAGGGAATTGGAGGCAATGAAGCAGCTGACGCTTAGCCAGGCAAGGGTCTGCGGCGAGGTTTATCGGACAGGAACCTGTGTTTGGAATTCCCAAAACCTCAATACGCGGCTAGCTCGCAAGGTGGGCGCAACAAAGACATTAGGCATACTGGAACAATGTTCCAGGATGGAGACACAGCAAATGGATGGTTGAAACACTGTCCAGAACAGTAACTAACGACATCCTGAGCCTAAACAGAAGTCAGATCAGACAAGTGCCAGGATTAATAACTAGTCAGTGCCCCTTGAGGAAGCATATGCATCAAATGGGTATCTATACCGTCGAACCCATATGCAGACTATACAAAAAGGAGGACACAGCCATGTAATATTGGAGTGCGAGAAACTAGCGCGATGGGGATACAACCTTCTGAGAACACTAAACTCACATGAGGTTTCTCCTACGAATGATCTGGTGAAGAGGATGCTAAACCTCATCAAGGTAGCGAACCTGTTCACGTGAGCCAACAGCGTAATCAGGAATACACTAGGCCCAAAGGTTGCAGTGTTTTGGGCTTTGACCCTGACTGGTCATTCTGCTATAAATCAATCAAATCAATCAATTGTCATGATTTCAATTTTTTGTCTTCAGCTAGGAATAGGAATCGGAATTCGGTATACTCTATCAGGTTGATCAATCTTAGCAAACAATAATAGCTAAGCCACCACTTATCAAGTAATGTCACAGCAGTGAGTCATCATTGGTACTAAAATATTGGCCTTTTTGAAAGGTGAATCACGAAAAGTGACACGCTGGTGGACTCACCAGTAATATTGGCAAAACAGTACTTCCATTCATTGCTCATTCCTTATTGGCCCAGAATTATAACTTGACATCATGAGGATATTTCATTTGACTCATAATTATAACTACAATAAGAACTAAAATAAGAACAGGGCTAAACTCCAAACCATCGGCAAAAACTGAGGGTAATGAATCTGTAAGTAATTATTGAGAGTAGAGACATCATCGATTGTGGAGATTTCCTGATATTCTCGCCAACCGGAATATTTTTGGATATTGAAAGAATTGATGAAATCGTAGATATGATAGACAATATGCATCCGAAGACATACGTTAGGAGCTATTCACCTTCAGATGAAAAAATAAGAATCTGAAAAAAACGAAGGTCATTTATTGGTCTTATAACTCATTCGCATATCAGAATATGGAGTTGCAAACTCTGAAATAGTTAATGCTTGATAACGTTCCTTTGAGTCAATATACATACATAAAGTAGATCGTTTTATTTCATTTCTTGGTATTCGGTTACAAAAACAACCTTCAATACCTTTGAGAATTATGTATTTCGCTCGAAGTTTCTGCTATTTTATGTGCTCCACGTAAATACTTAGTCGAAAACTTTCCTATTTACCATGTATCAACTTACAGCGTTGCTTTGTTGGAGTTTCTCTCGTTCTGCAGTCGTATAAGTATTTAGTAAGAATTCGTTAGATTCCACTTCATTGTTGGTTTATGGTAATTCGAAACTAATGCTCTTGTTTCGATGCACTTGAGTGAAGCACGCATCCCATTGTTCAACTATTTGTAAGTACAGGGTGTTTTGAAAACTGCTATCAAAAATGCTGTCTGATGCTCTTTCATAGTTGCTAATAACCAACTCCTTCTTACCATCGCAGTTCCACTAGAATTCTGATTTCTCAGCATTTTCTTTTTGTATCAGGTAACCAATGATTTTTCCATTTTAACTCCCTGTAACTTGAAAACAGCGTGTCCAGACAAATGAGACATTCCTTTTACGTCAGAAATAACCTTTTTCTGCAACCGAGGCAAAATTGAAAATTAAATTTCAATACCAAAATCAGCTCTTGAATTGACGTGTCTATTATTGATACAAACATAGGTATGTTGCTAGGCAACACTTTAGGTTCTTCGGAGCTAAAGTTGAACTTCAGCTCCGAGGAACCTAAGAGGATGTACTAGGTCATGAAGAATAAGCAACATTGTTACGGTTGGTTATTTGGGTTGGGACGCATACCTGATTTGTACCCGATTTCAGCATCAGGAAAGCCTTCAAGGTTCACATACTTGCTTGATCTGTATTCCATTCGTTATCCTCGGGATCTGATTGATTGGATAACTTGTTTTTGAATGATCACGGACAGCATTACTGTTTTGTCTCACACAACGATATTGTTTACCTTTATTTGATAACCGTTCCAAACCCAGTGGAATGTAAAGTATTGAGAGAAATGAATAATTGTTACTATTTCTGTTGATATGCACACTAACCTAACATTTTCCACTTATTTTTCCTATACTTGGCACTGGCTCGGTATTTGCTATTGGGGCTGACACCTGTCCCCTGGTCTAAACGAATTCATCGATTCAAGAGAATGCACAAATCGGTCACTCTGAGGTATTATCAAACTACAATTCGAACATCCTTGAAAATTAAATGAACCTGATCTGTAAATGCAGGTAAAATGCAGGTAAAATATTCTCAAAACACGGATTATTTGTTGCATAGCATACATATGGCACGGTATCCACGTTTCGAGTATTTTTTTCATTGCTTGGAGCGCACGAAAGGGAATCCCTATAATGTTCAAAGAACATCGTGCGTTCCTAGAGAGGATAGGGATGAGGTAGGTATTGAATTCGTGCCTGTAGTGTTTGATGACATGATGCATATCAAGACAAATTTTAACAGAGGAAAGTAGCCTGAGGTCTTGCTTCTATCTACTTACTCATATTATTATATATTAGGTATTATAATAATCTGTCTATTAAGTCACATTGGTGGTTACTTCACATATTTATTTTTGTTAATTCTTTCGGTTGCAGAAAAAATAGCATGTTTCATTCGAATCAAAAGTGACTTTGTTTGACTCGCAAATTATGCTTTCGGTCGGCTTCGCTAGACGCTCCACCTCGCGAATGCAAAATTTGTTTGTCAAACAAAGTGTCACTTTTGATCCTAATGAAACAATCAACTATTTCAAATGCTTTTCCTTCGGTGAAAGTGGCCTAGCTACCGCACATTCGTTAGACACATTTTATTGAAACAGAGTCACTGAGAATCATATGACAATTATGATCACTTTTTTCTTCTCATCGTTCAAGTTTATTTGAACCACTGAAATAAATAGGATATTACTCATCTAGTTCGTTCTATGATCGAGGTTCACGATTCACAAATCAATTGCAGCATTATTTCTCCGATGTTATTTTTGACAAGATGAATGAAAACAGAAGCATTGAGAAACTGAAGCACATCCTATAGTCATAAGTCGTTTTACCCGTAAAACATGCATATATCAAGAGATATTTCAGTCTCTATTTAATCAAGAGTAATATTCGTAACGTTTTCCATCCACTTCAGTTATATCGCAGATTTACGATGCCTCTCCGGGATATAACATTCACCTCTAAAACGATCGTATATAGCATTGTGGTACTCTCGGGGGGAACGATACCAAGAGACGAGAGATTGATAGATTTTCAAAAATTTTTGTCATGAGGTAACTCAAGTCTACAGTCTTACAAAATCACATGCAACAAATTATACAGTCATGAATATTTTGCTTCAAAAAACTGTTATTCAAGTTATCACCGTTTGAAATGATTCACGTGATCCATCATTGGATTTGTGT